AAGCGCTTATACCCTAATAGTAGGCCGACCTATACTTGTATATACTAGACGAGCTCGCTACCGTAGTAAAAGCTAAGATATATATTAGTACCGCGGCGATAGACGAGCCCGGCTAGCCGCTATAGAAGACGCGCGCCCTACCGACTTAGGTACTAGCACCGTAGGTACTAGTACCGCAACTACCGACGCTAGGTTAGTTACGCCGCAAGTCTAAGTACGTAGCCGTACCCTAAGATAAGCTCGCCTTGCTAGTAAAGCTACCTACTCTATAGGTGCTAAGCGAGCCTAAGGCCCTCTCGCCGCTAAAGATTACTACCTAGCGCCTAGCTACGCGCGCGTCCGCGCGCGCTGTTACGGTAGGCCCTTCCGATAGTCTAGCTATACGCGCGTCTACGCGTACGTCTACGCGTACCCTAAACTCTCTAGCTACGCGTACGCTAACTAAGCGTAAGGTAGCCGACGGCGATTCGTCTATAAAGAAAAAGATGCAGAAACTATAGAGCTTTACGGAGGGCAAGGCAACTAAGGCTAAGGCTACTAGCTCTAAGACGGAACCGGAATTAATTAACTCTAATAAGTAAGACTATAGCTAGTAGACGCGATATAATACGAATGTAAGTATATATAGCACGAATACGAGCGGTAAGGAAAACGAGCAGAAGCGGAAGGAGTATATAAGAAGGGGTTTAGCTAATATAGTACGCTAGCCTTCGTTCTATCGGACGGGGGTACTATTACGGCAGGGACGGTACGCTAGCTAAGCCCGGTATATACTTTCCGTAGAACCGTAGATACTTACCCTAATACTATACTATAGCTAACCTACTAATCGTCCCTCGTATAATAACCGCTAAGAAGTCTACTTAGACAGTTCTTTATATAGGTAGCGATATAGTATAAATAGAAAGAGCTAGAAGACAAAGAACAGCTCTTAAAGATAGAAGCACACTTTATAACTAAACGATATAACTGTAACTAGTTGTGTTAACTTCCTTTAAGAGAGTAGAAGGAGCTTAGCTTCTTTAAAGGCGACCTAGGCACGTTACGTAACTGTCTAAAGCGTTTTTAGAAGGAAAAGTTAGCTAAAAGAGAGTAAGATAATAACGATATACGTAACAGAGCGACGGCTGTTCTTATTAGTTTAGGTTAGCTAGGCGTTTGCTTATAATCTACGAATTTAATAGCTTGTTATTTGCTCCGTTACGTATACCGCTATTATTATCGTTGCCTCGAGAGTGCTTTCCGGAGGTAAAAGCGGAGGAGGCATATAGGGCTTAGTAGTACGCACTATTATATTATTAATTTTGCTACGCTAACAATATACTAACTATATATATAAAAATCGTAGCGGAGCTTTAGATATATATTATCTTATTATCCTATAGATACTAAGACATATTATCGATATTATAGTAGTTAGATCTAAAGCGACTAGAGATTGCTAGTATTAGCTAGTAACCGGCCCCACACACCTAGGCTGAGTTTTAAGCCTATATAAGAGGCCTCCTTCTGCATTGTAGATAGAGCACTAACCTCGTATAGCATATTGTTTATGTTACACTTCTATAATGCCTATATTACAGGGCTCTAGTTATCAGCCTAAGCAACCGTCTTGTTATCCTATTATGCTAAACATAGCTGCCTATATTGCTATAGGTTATGTTACCCTCGGTAGCCTATACTATTACTATAGGTAGTAGTAGTAGTTTTGGTTTCCGTCCTTTATTAGAGCCGAAGGTAGGGCCATCTCTTTATATCTAATAGGTTCGGGTATATTGAAGGTAGTCTCTAGGCACGAATGGCTATAACCGAAGCGAGGGCACGACAAGAGCCTACGATACAGACGATACCGAAGTATCTTAAGGGGGCTATTACGACAAGCAGAGAAACCTCTTAACGAAGGCATCGCTTTAACCCCGAAAAGCTGCAAACCCTTAGGACTGTTACAGCTTAGGGCCTAGTCTATAGCTATAGCTAGCTTCTAAGGACTCGGCTCCGGGTCGAAGACCTATTTAGCACCGCTTACTCGAGATAAGCCCCGCCTAAGGAGGAGATAGACTAATTACCTATCGGCCTTGCTTGGTTTGCTAAGACTATTAATTAATAGCAAATACGGATTATAGGTCGGATAGCCGGGGAGTCCCCTATTAATCGGGTAGGGCGTTCCTAGATTCGCAGCCTCGCTTAGACAGTACTTAGCCTTCTACTAGAAAAAGAAGGCCACCGCCCCCCCGCCTAGCTAAAGGAGATACGAGCTAGTTTCTAGGATCTAGGTATAAATAGAGATTATAGTCTCTCCCTCCGAGCGGCTTTTGCCTAAAATCTACTAAACTCAGCTCCTAGAGGTGGTTAGGCGACCCCTAAGAGGCTAAATCCTAATGCTACCCCGGGGGTAATACTAGGAGAAACCGCCTAATATACTACTCTCTCGTATAGCAATATTATAACAAACTAAACAGACTAAAGTTACTAAAAACACATTTATATAGCATTCCATTTCAACTTTATATAGCATTCTATTTCAACTATTTCAACTATTTTACAACAATCGAATAAGCTCTAGCTCTAGCGAAAACGAACATCGAGAATTAGCGGAATCCTCTAAATCCGAAAACGCCCCTAATCCTATTAACGAAGAAATTAGGCGGCGACTAGTTAATATAAGTAAGCCTCCTACGCCCTCTACGCTAGAGGCGCTCTACACTGTCCTTATAAAAATGATAGAGAAGCAAACTAAGCTTCTCCGTTAAAACAAGCGTCGCCCGCTAGAGCTAGGGAGCAGGGCAAATCCCCTATTCGAAGGGTAGAACGCTATAGCACATATTAAGCGCTTTAAGGAAGGCTTAGTTAATTACGAGCTCGATAGAGAATCCGACTAGTACAAGATTCGGTCCTTTACGAGGACTACCTCCTCTAAGCTTTACCGAACCCTTAAAACCCTAGTTAGCTACCTAGAAAAGGACGACAAGTCTAATACTAACTAGGAGACCTTTAAGATAGCCTTTATAAGGGAGTATCGGGAGCGCGATAGCCGTCGCATTAAAGGCAGTCGTACGTAGCTCGAGTCCTTCTACTTAGTAAGGCGCACTAAGGATAACGACCTAAAGGGGTATATCCGCGAGTTTGTCGAGTTAGCGGATAGCATCGAATAGAGTAACCTCGAAAACTCTTAGAGAATAAGGCTGCTCCTCTAGGGGTTGCCGTAGCCTATAGCTTAGCGTATCTTCCGTCGCTGCAAGCTTAGCGAGGCCGATCCTAAGAGCTTTAGGAAGTATAAAGAGGTCCTAGTGTATATTAAGGCCGACATTAATAGCGTAGCCGATGCGAGGAAGTTTATCTACGGCGAAGACCGGAATAACCTAGCGTAGGTTAGGAAAGAAGCCTTAGTAAGCAAGGGACCTAAGTTCCTTCCTAAATCGCAAAGTAGTCCTAAGACCGTAACTCCCACTATTACTAAGCACTCTTAGGATATCGCGGACTTAGCTAAATCCCTAGCCTAGCTAAACCTAAATGCGAAAGCATTGCAGCGAGTTAGGGAGGTTATTAATACTACTATACTAGGCGATATACTACTAGTCTACTAGGTTTTAGATCCTAACTACCCTAAAGCCCCTTTAGTAGATATCTACGCTATACGGAAGATCTATTCTAACTTAGATAGCAAGTGCTAGATATATAGCGGGTTTAAACATATCTAATCGTCCTGCCCTGTCTAGAAAGAGCTTCTTAAAAGGAAGCTTATTATGCAAGTAAATAGCCGATTCTACTATATAGATACCGGCGACAAGATTAATTTCGAATAGGATCGGAGAGCCCCGAAGCTGCCTTAGCTAAAGACCCTTCTAGAAAAGAAGTATAGCGGCAAGATCGAGTTTAAGGACACTAGAAACAGTACCCTCGCCGCTATTGCTAAACGAGAAACTTAGAAGGTTAGGGCAAAACAGGTTAAGGAGCGAAGTAGTAACGGTACTACTAAACCTATTAAAGTCAACTTTGTTTCTTAGGATCCGGACGTAGTTACTAATGTTTACGCGGTTACTAAGAACAGTATAGATGTCTACGCTACTATACGGTCTCAGACCTAGTCCTAAAACAAGGGTAAGAGCCCTTAGAACCCTACTCGCCCTAGTGCGGCAGCCCCTACTAGGGTACTAAAGAACAAGGCGGCCGATAAGGCTAAGCAACAGCGAGAGTTAACCGCTAAAACTAAGACTCTCTAGATAGCTACAGACCGTGCTACCTAATCTAGCACCGCACCTAGCACCGTACCTAGTACCCTACCTATAGAAAGCCTAGTCGTCCTAGAGACTCTAGAGGTCGATATAGAGGATGTTGCTACCGACATTAGCGGTACCCTAGGGCTAGCTAACCTACCTACCTACAAACGGAAGTCATCCGACCTAAAGAGCTTTCGCTTTAATAGGTATATAAAGAAGTATAGTACTAGCCTAGCTAACTCCTTAGACACAAAGGCAAACGCTCTCTTCTAGGCTTTATAGTTTCTAGACCTCAAGTCTAACGTATCTATAGGTAAGCTACTAGTATACGGTTTGCCTACTAACCTATTCTAGAGCCGAATCCCTAACGATGCTACCTTTATAAAAGACCTCGCTGCCCTCCGACGAAAATAGGGACGAGAAGACTATATCGACGTCTCTTCCCTATAGTTCCTTTCTAAATTTTTAGGTACCTAAGAGTTAGTAGAAGGCGAATCGGTAACCTACAAGAACTAAGAGACTATCGATAATACTAACGAAGAGGGAGTTAAGGAGATAGGCCGAGGGGATAGTAATAATCCCGACCCTACTCTAGTTTTAGTTTCTATTAAAGCTGTCCGATTTACTAGCTAACAAATCGGTCGAGTAGGACCTCCTCGACCTAAGGAACTTTACTCTATCCCTAATAATATAGACCTTTCCGCAGTTACCCGTTCCTTCGCCGTCGTCCCCGCTATCTATATTTAGGTTACTATCGGGAGCTATAGTTAACAGATACTAGCAATGCTTAATAATAGTTCGGAGTTACTTATTATAAGTAAGCGTTAGGCTAAACAACTTAGGCTGCCGATAAACAGAGACATTTCCCTCGGTATATAGGGAATAAATAGGGAGGTTGCGCTAGTAGGTACTTGCTATAATGTTATAGTAGACGCCTTCGGCATATACTTTTCCTTTACCTTCTAGATTGCCGCTAACCTAAATACGCTAATTATTCTAGGTCGACTATAGTCTCGTATAACCCGAGGTATCTAGCGCAACTGCGACGATAGCTCCTAGGAGGGAACTATTACTAACTAGAAGGGCAACCGAGTCGTATTTACTAGTTATATCGGAAATACTAGCTACAAGTCCTACGAGGATATCCTTACTGCTTCTAGACGGTCTTCGGGAAACGCTACGGCGCGGTTATAAGACCGGCAATCTGCGCTATAAGTTAGTATAGCTTGAATAGGTCATTTCTAGAAGTACGCCGCTCCGTACGTTAAGGCAAGTTTCTAGGTTCTATACTAAGAAGACGAATGCTCGAAGCGATAGCGAGTATAACACAACGACTACCTAATGCCCGAGTTAAGGTAATAATACTATCGCAAGTATTACTACCGGACGCGGGTCTACCCGAACTAACTAATTAGAGCGCGAGTCTAATGCTACCCCGGGGGTATTATTACGAATCTAACGTTTTCGCCGGCGTTATAAATTAGGACTACTAGCTGCATACCTATCGACTTAAGGAAACTTCTGAAGAAGTTTACGCGCTGTTTTATTACGCTAATCTCTAAGCTTAGCGATAAAGAGAGCGAGCTCGGGTTCGACAATCGATTAGTATACACACCCTATACAAAAGGGTAGCCGACAAGATTAAGCCTATAAAGGGTAGCGTACACATTACCGATAGGTCTAATCCTAGCGGAAATCCTGACTAGCGACAAAAGTGCCTTAATTAGGAGGCGACACTACTACCTAGGGATAGTCCGTACGATTAGAAATACATTACTAAAAAGTTTTCTACTATCCCTAGGGGGTTAAGGCTAATAGAAGAGAGGCTTACGAAGATCAAACCTAGTATCGAGCTTTCGGATCGTAAACTAGAGTTGCTATACGAGCTTCTCTACAATCGCGAGGCTGTATTAGTATATAACTTCACTTACCTAGGCAGAATCAATCCGGAGGTTGCCCCTCTATAGAGGATCCGAACAATCGAATATAAGCCTTAGGCCTACCTAGGTTTTAAGCTAAACCTAAGCCTACGAGATGTAGTCGAGGATATAATACGGCAACGCGTAAAGGCCGGCACACTTAAGCCTTCCTATGCCTCGTATCGTAATCTATACTTCCTAGTTTAAAAGAAAACAGCTCCTAGGGAACTAAAGAAGTACCGTCTAATTAACGCTACACAAAAGTTCAACGCAGTTACGATTAGAGATACTAACCTTCCTCTAGAGACTAATAGGTTCTCGGAAGCTTTTGCTAACTGTGTTATAGCTTTACTAGTTAACGTTTTCTCGGGCTACGACTAAATTCCTCTCTACCCTAATAGTTAGGACCTTACTAGTTTCGAGACACCTCTTAGGCTATATAGACAAACTACCCTTCCCTAAGGGGCAACTAACTCCGTAGCCTAGTTCGTTCGCATTATAAACTAAGTCCTCGCGGCCTATATCTCCTATATAGCGATGCCTTTCCTCGACGATATCGGCATTAAGGGCCCTAAAACTAGGTACGACAATAAAGAGGTAGAGCCTAGCATCCGTAGGTTCTTTCTCGAATATATTTAGAACCTCGATAGTGTCCTCTACGACCTAGAGCGAGCTAACCTAACGGTGCATAGGGAGAAGCTTTAGCTTCTATGCAAACGAATAAACATTGTCGGGTTTGTAACTAATAAGAACGGCCGCTATCCTAATAATATACGGGTCCTAAAAATAGTGTCCTAGCCGGATCCTACCTGTTAGAAGGATGTCCGAACCTAGCTTAGAGTAGTCTCCTACTTCCGCATCTAGGTCGAGAACTTTGCATTAGTATACAAGCCCTTATACGCCTTGCTTAAGAAGGATGCTAAATTCGAATAGACCTCCGTTTACTAAGCGGCTAAGGATACAGTAACTAAGGCGCTCGTTAGTATACCTACCCTAACATCTATTAACTACTTAGAGGGTGCGGGTTTAATAATTGTTGCTATCGACTCGAGCGGGGAAGGCTATAGCGAGATACTAATGCAGTATAACCGTAAGGAGCCATCCTTGCGTTATCCTATTAGGTACGACTCTAGACTATAGAAACCGATCGAGGCCCGATACGATACTAGCAAGCGAGAATGCCTTAGAGTCTATAAGGCTCTAAAGAAGTTCCGACTATAGCTCTTTAGTGTGTTCTTTCGCTTAGAAATCGATGCTTAGACGCTAGTCTATTAACTTAACCGTATAGCCTCCGACCTACTAAACTCTACGATAGCTCGGTAGGTTGCCTAGATCTATTTGTTTGATTTCGATGTCTTCTACGTTCCTAGCAAGAAGCATACTAGACCGGATAGCCTTTCTAGAAGGCCCGCTATAGAAGAGGATATCGCCGAGATAATAAAAGAAGAGGATATCGATACGGTAATTAACCGCACCTTCTTCGCTGCCTTCTATATTAATGCTATGCTAGCGATTACTAGGCCTGCTGCCGACGACTAACCTAGCGACTAACCTAGTAACTAGCCCGACGAGAGCCCTACTACTAACGATAACGGCTAGGCTAAAGCTAAGGCGGATAAACTAGAGAGGGATAATATCCTTAATAGGGTCTACTCCGACGACTCCTATTATATCGCCTACTTCCTAACCTATACAAGGAAAGCGCCTAGCCTGTTAAAGAGTTAATACTATCGGGTTATTCGCTATTCTTAACGATTCCTAGTTAAAGATCGAATCCTTTAGCGACAAGCGATAGTTAATGCGCCTCTCTAGCGTGTTATTAACGACCTAGTAGCCCGATAAGAGATCCTTCGTTCCGTTTACGATAAGCTCGGCTACCGCGCGGTAGAGGGCACCTTCGATGTCCTTCGTCGGCGCTACTAGTAGGATAGCGTATAGGCCGATGTCTCTCGCTATTATAAGAGCTGTCCTAAGTGCAATTTTAGGAATAGCTACCGTCGGCTAGGCGAGCTACGTATCCCTACTACCTAATTAGTTAGTAAGCGATAGTACGGTAATAGGGTTTATCTAAGCCGGAACAACAGCCTCTATATTATTCGGGAAGGTCTTTCTCGATAGCCTAAAGCCTATTATTTCTATAAGGGCTGCGGCGCTATTAATGCTCGTAATATAGCTACCTTCCTGTTTAAAGATCTATTTTGCCGCTAGGGAACGCCCTACGAGATTATCTTAGACAACGCTACGAACAATATAGCTAAAGAAGTTTAAGTACTGCTTGTTTCGTATAGGGCGAAGAACGTTCGTATCTCCCCGTACTATCCCTAGTCGAATGCTATTATTAAGCGTAGCTATCGGTCTTTAATCGATGCCCTATCTAAGATAACTAATAGAGGGGATAGGTCCGTTCCTATCTCTACCCGCGTTCCGGCCCTTCTCTAAGCGGATCGAACTACTATTATCGATACGACTAGACTTACGCTAGCAGAGCTTATAATTAGGAGGGACGCCGTTCTTCCTATTAAGTTGTCCTATCGTACGCATAGCGTTTACGACTAGGGGTCTGTTCGTACTAGAGCAGATCTCCTTACCCTACGCGCTAAGGCTCTTAAGGATATAACTACTACTTCTTAAGAGGGTCTTGCTCGATAACGGCGCCTCCGTAAAGAGGCTAAGCAGTATTTTAATAACTATAATGCTGTTAATTAGGAGCCTCTAAAGGTTAGCGATATAGTTCTCCTATACCGGTCCGAGTTAGAGTATAGTTACTCTTATAAGCTAGCCTTTAAATAGAAGGGGCCTTATAGAGTGTAGGAGGTCCTTTACGATAGTTCTACGTACCGGCTTTAGGAACTTAATAGTGCTACCTTAAAGCACTCGCACCCCCGGGCTAACCTAAAGAAGGTCGTCGAGTTAAGAGAGCCTACCCGTCCTCCCCTAACCGAGGAGGAAGTTAATGCCTCTATAGACCCTCTACCGACCTTAAATACCTATCGAGAGGAGGATCCTACCGCGATTATAGATCCTATTCTGCCCGACAACTATACGCATCCCTAGATACATCTTAGTAAGCTATTAGGAATAACTTATAAACAAAGGGAGGGTTATGTACGTATTAATTGCGCGTAGAGCATTTCCGATGTTGATTCCGATAGTAAACTAGACTTCTAGCTATCTAACTCTAACTCCGAGGAGGAGCTCGACTAGTCTAGCGACGAAGACTGCCTAGAATTATAGCTAGATCCCGAGACTAAATAATTGCTTACTCTTCCTTACCTCTGTCTGCCTCTACTACGTTGCTTCCTTGCTCTTGTTAATCGTTCTCCGCGCTATTAATGCAGTACCGCCCTATAGCTTTAGTCCTTACTGCTTGTTCCTACGGTGTTAATGCTTATAGTTATTGCCCTCTTTTGCTTTTACTTTATCTATTGTTTTGCTCTTTAACCTTCGAGATATTGCTATAACTTTATTCCTTTGCTCTTGTTTCCTTAGATAGAACTATACGAGGCGTGTTTTCCTAATAACACCCCGGGGGTGGCATTAGGAAAACGGCCGAACCTAACCCTCTCCCTTCCTAGCTCTTAAATAGATATAGCAACCTAGGCCGATAGCCTCTAAGAATAGGGACCTTAGGCTATTAAGCTTAGCGTTTAGAAGAAGGAAGAAGGAAGAAGGTGAACGCACAGACTACCTTTATATGCTTGCTAATATAAAGGGTAATGCTGTATCTATAACGGCAGTGCTATAGGCTAACGCACTAACGAATTAGCTGCGCTAGGCCTAGGCGACTTGCTCCTCGTTACCGAGCATCTTTAGAGAAAAGCTAATGCTACCCCGGGGGTATTATTAGTCCCGCTAGCTTTACTACTATAGATTTCTGCTAAGGACTCGAACTAACTAGTTACATTTCGAGTGCGCGAGAATCTACGATAGCTGAAGGTTAACAAAGGCGCGTAGTCGCTACTAGCAATTAGCTAGATCGATTGTTAAACTTTAGCCTACCCTAATAATAAAGAGGTCTCGTATATAGCTTTACTTTTATATACAGCCGTCATCCGTTTGCTTTACTAGCGTAGAACACACGGACTACGTTACCTTCGCACTATATTTAAAGCGAGCTTCCTAAGCTCCTTCTTCTACTCGATTACTAACTAACTCGCTACCGCCTAACTACCCTCCCCCCTTCTATCTAAACCCTTCAATTATTATTGTTAAGCAACGAACATACTTGTAAACTCGTTTATAACCTACTTCGGTCGACTATGTCTTCCGGCGCCCCGAATCCGCTAGGCGCTAGTAGCAGCAACAACCTACCTGCCCCTATTAACCTAAGCCTAGCCGCCCTAGTTCCGATCGAAGCCCTATCCGACAGCGCCTTAGCTACTGCAACTAGCCTCGAGCACTACTTTTAGATCGTTACCGCCCTTAAAGACCCTTAAGAGAAGATCTAGAACGCTCGTACCCTACTACGCGTTATTAATAGGAATATTAAGAAGGCTGCTATCTTAGTTGCATATAGTATAAACAACTTGCGTTAGTCTATCGGTAAGCGTATCTTTAAGCGCGAGGTTCTTAACGATATAGATATCGAACAAGCCTTTCCTATCGTCTATAGCCTCGAGACGGCCGGCACCTAGATTCGTTTACGCTTTAAGACCCTCGACTAGGCCTTCGAACATTAGGGAGGACTAAGTAGTCTTCCGAAGAGCCTTATTAACTTCGCCTACAGTAGATAAGAGCGTACTAAGTAGGTCTCTTCGTTTGTTAATAAGTACAAGGTCCGTCGTTAAGGCGCCGAATACCTTTCCCGCACTATAATCTATCGTATATCTACCGCTAGCAAGAAGGTAGGTAAGCAGCTACTTAACTTGTCCTTTGCGCTTAACGACTTTACGATAGCCTACTAGAAGAAGTACTACGATGCGATTGTCTAGGTCGATCTTAACGTATAGACAACTAAGGATCTACTAAAAGAGAAGGGCTATCGCATTAATAGTACAGGCTTTATTATTAAAGGTTAAGAGGCTCCTATCGTTAATGTCCTTAAACGTAAGGCTCTTCGCCTAGAAACCGAGGCCGATACGGCTACTAGTCTTACGCTCGCTATAGAGATGCAGGCTAAAGATCGTCGCTCGACCCGTAACCGTAAGGTCCCTTAAGAAGTTTAAGACGAGCGCGCTAAGGCCGAAGTAGCGCGCAAGAAGGCATTATATACTCGCTAGGCCCTCCGCAAGGCTACTAAGAAATACAGCACTCCTTCTAGTACCGACTATAGTACTAACTATAGTACTAACTATAGTAACTCGGATGTTAATATACTAGATATACTACTAGAAGATGTCTCCTCCGAAGGCTCCTTTAGCGAGCGTAGAGATAGAGGCCTCTCGCCGATCCTATTAACTAAGAACATCTATAGTTCTTATAAGGGCGACTCTATTACGCACCTTATTACTAATATCGATATAGTTCCTAAAGCCGATATAGGCAAAGCTCCTACCGCCCTGTCTATCTATTAATAGCTCGACGACCTTAGTAAGCTAGGTAAAGAGCGGTTTACTATATATACTAACTATATTAAGAAGGCTGCTAAGGTCTGTAGTCTCTATACTAGTACTAAGGCGAGTGTCCTCGTCGGTCGCCTATTAAAGATTGGTCGCGAGGTTACTAATTAGGATGCCTTTACTGCCCTTAAGACTAGTTATACTAACTAGTTTCCTAGACGTCCTGCTGCCGCCCCGACCTCCCTAGGACTCTACGCATTCAACCCTACTAGCACTGTTACTCGCGATCTTACGCTAACTAAGCGTCGCTATAAGTTAATTACTAGCATTCTTAGATAAGGCACCTCCTTCGACCGCTTTCGTTAGACTAGCAATGCTATCTTCCCTCGAGTCTTCGGTTAGATACAGTCGCCTCGTAGAGCGCACCTTCCTCTTATCGTCGACCTAATATAGGAGGAGTTTCGTATATTCTTTTAGTATATACGTAAACTGCCTAAGTCTAAGTAGGAAGGCCGTAATGCCCTTTAGACCTATAGAGTAAGTAACTAAATCGTCCGTTAGCATCCCGCCTTGTAGCTCTTAGCCGTTGCCCTTCGACCTAATTACGTATACAAGCTTATCTTCGTCCCTAAGCCTACTAAGTACTTTAAGGTAGGTAATAGCGGTTATAAGAACTGCCCTACTAAGGAGACTTCTCGTCTCGGATAAGATATAGTTAAGCTCGTAGCTAGTAAGGGTGCTAGCTATCTGCGCATTAAGGTTTCTCTTATATCTAAAGATAAGACCGCCTGTTTAACTATTATCGAGGGCATATACGAACTAGAGGTCTTCGAGAACTAGGTTAAGAAGCTTAATACCTATAGCCTAGTTCTACTAAACAAGATTAGCAAGCTTACTAATAAGCACCTTACTAACGACGACCTCGGCTATATGTTCGATAGTTAGCCTAACGAAGGCGAGGCAGCTTAGTAGATCCTTAACCCTCTTAAGGAATACGAAGTCTCTATTTAGATGCTATACCTTCCGTATAGCGATCTAAAGCCCGAGAGCGACCGCATATCAATCGACCTAGGCTACTCTCGTATTATCGACGGCACTAAGGTTAAGGGCTACGATAACTTAACCGTCGCTAAGGTTGCTAAGGCGCACCGCAATCTAACCGCCCTTCTAGGTTCTAACACCTTCGTGCCGTTCGCCTTCCCTACCGCTATCTTAGTCGAAGGCCTTAGTTACATTTCCGATACCCTAGTCGGTAGAATTCCTTAGTTAAGTTACGTTGTTTAGAACGAAGTTAAACAAATCCTCTAGTTTAGTAAGGAGGAGCTTAAGGACTATCTACGCGAGTAGGAGAAGGCTATATAGGATAAGGCTGCTAATCTCCTCGTTAATCAAGCTTACTTCGAGGCAGAGTACTTTAGTACTAATAGCTTTAATACCTACGGAGGAGCTTAGGACAGTCGACTAGCTAATAAGGTTATTGCTAGTAAGGATTACGGTACATTAAAGCAGCAGTAAGTTAGCGTAGTAGATTAGATACTTAGGAAGTTGTTTTTGTATATTAATAGAGTCTAGGAACAATGCTATCCCGGGGGTGTTATTGCGGAGTCTCTAAAAGATAGCCTTAGCTAAGATGCCTAAGGTTACTATATAACTGTTTGTTTTGAGCGCACAATGTAAAGCGTATCTAGTTAGACACGAAGAAAGGGAGGGATATTAGCTAGTAACCGGCCCTACACACCTAGGCTAAGTTTTAAGCCTATATAAGAGGCCTCCTTCTGCATTGTAGATAGAGCACTAACCTCGTATAGTACATTATTTATGTCACACTTCTACAATGCCTATATTGCAGGGCTCTAGTTATTAGCCTAAGCAACCGTCTTGTCATCCTATTATACTAAACATAGCTGCCTATATTGCTATAGGTTATGTTACCCTCGGTAGCCTATACTATTACTACAGGTAGTAGTAGTAGTTTTAGTTTCCGTCCTTTACTAGTAAGCTAGCTTTCTGCGTTAATCTCGGCTTTATCTTTAAAGCCGTATACGTTATATCCGCTATGCTTAAATAAGCCTATTACATCTATCTTACTAACGTAGTCTAGAGCCTATATAAGGAAGTCTTAAAAGGACTCGAAGTTAGCTATAAGGTCTTTATTCTTCTTTAGCTATTTCTTTAGGATTACGAAGGTCTGTTTAATTGGGTTTAGGTTAGGAGAGTATAGCGGCAAGTACTTAAGAGTATAGCTAGCTAACCGGATTATCGACTCGACCTTCTCGCTATAGTAGATTAAAGCGTTATCTATTATAATAATTATGCTTCTGTTAAGCAGCGGTAGCACTTTATTCTTAATCTAGTCGTTAAAGGTAACCTAATTAACAGCGCCTTAGACATAGAGGGTATAGGGCAAGTATCTATTAATTATAAGCACTAGAAGTACTAATATTCGTTCTTGCCGTTGCGTATACTAATAGTCGTAGCAATTAATCCCCTTCGGAGACTATCTAAACTTATAGTATCTACTCTTCTTATTAGAAGCCGTCTTATCGATAAATACTAACTTATCGATAGGCTATTTCTAGCTCCTCGTATACTAGGCGGCTCTTGCTAGCGGATTACGCTCCTTTGCGACCTTCTAAGAGGCCTTCCTTGTCTATCTAATCTTATATAAATAACGCTATACTATAGACAGATCTACCTTAATCTCGAAGCGATCGAATAGTACTATATATATCTTCTTAAGGTACGTCTTAGGTCGCTTTAAGAGGTACTTAAGGAGGTAGATTTCTATTTCCTTCGTTATCTTCCTCTTACGACTCGATTTAAACCGCTTCGACGGTAAGAATACCTTACTAAACTAATTGTAATAGAACTTCTAGCGATATACGGTCGACTAGCTCGCACCTGTCTTTAATATAATATCGATTATATCGAGTCTACTATCGAAGTATTCTTTAGCGAGTCGAGCGGTATAGGTAGGTAGGGCGGTAGGAAGGGCGCGGACGGCGTAGAAGAGGTAGAATAATACTAATAATAATACCTTAGACTATATATTTAACGGCTATACTAATAACATGTATTTTCTCGTGTTTAGGGCTATATAGCTAAAGAATAGGAAGAAATGGCCGATTTACTAGCAAATTCGTAGTAGGGTTTCCTAGGTCTTAGCATTCTTAACCTTCCGGAAAAGAATAGTATAGGTAAGGCTACCGAGAATGCCTGCGTATACCGGTACTAATGATCTATTAGAGCTTTTGTTTGTATATTTTCAGTAGAGAACATCAGCAGAGAGAGGGGTTGTGAGTTCAGAGTTGTTGTAAGAGGAGGAGGTAGGTTAGAGGAGAGAAGTGAAGCTGTGGTAAAGCCGGCCCGAATCGCGTCTGCAGTGAGGCGCGTCGGTCAGTTCGGGGCCGAATATGTATTCTACACATCGCACCACGCATTATGCATAACGCACCACGCACCACGCACCACACACCACCCGTCAAGGCATTGTGGCGCTTCCGGCCGATCAGATCAATCAGAGCTTCACAAAGGCCTTCGACCAAGTACAGGCCTTGTTCGCACAAGACAAGATGGCGAAATGCGAGCAGCTAGAAGAGCCTACAATGAATGCCACGCTACCACAGAATCTTCCATCAAGAAGCTAAACTTCTCTGGCACCTCGTCCGCCGCAACCCCCCGCAAGGCCAAGACAGCGGCATCGATAAGACCATGCAAGAGTTGTGGCATGGCGTTACCGAACTACAAGAGATGTGACATGGAGCATGATGAAGAGGCAGAACAGTGGGACAAGGCCGAGGAAGAAGCAGATGCTGTAGCGCGAAAAGACGGCGTCTAAAGCAGCACTTGTAAGCATATTGGCCCATCCACTTTGTACAAACAGAGCTCATTTGGCTGCAGAAAAACAAGCGCCCACCTGTGCCTACTCCGAGCCAAGTAGCCACAGCGACACTCTCGTCAGACACCGGCGTCGCCGTACCACCACTTCCTCAAACTGCGGACCCCAAAGCGAAGAAGCTCCTCGCCCAGTCCGTGGCTGAGTCTCGAGCTTATGGGTTTGGTGGTGGCACGCCGTATCGCGACCGAATGATGAAGCAGTCCGATCCCGATCCTAGCGCGCCTATAGATCCCTCAGACTTTCAGATGGAAGGTGCCGCACCACTCCTTGGCAGAGCTAGGTCGACGCGGAAGAAGCAGCACAACTCGCATAGAAATACGCCGTGGACGAAGAGCATACCACATCGAACGGGCACTCGTATAGAAGCAGAAGATACCAGTAGCGACTACAATCGTCCCCCGACACTGCTGCCCAAGTTCGCTGTCGAGCTTTGGGGCAAGCTAGAGGAGGAGGAGAAAGACAGGGACGAAAAGTAGAACGGGATAGGCAGAGCGGCAGCAATCGATATCGCCTATAGGTATCGTATTCCCATACTATACGGTAAGCTTCATAACTGAACCCCAGTCAGCTTGCAGCAGTTTGGGGAGGGAAGGAAGCGGAGAGTCGAGTGTACAAAGGCAGGCGGTACGTGACTCCGAGCGGACGGGTACGACTAGGAAGATGCCAGTATTAGGTCACCGCTGTCTCTTGGGGTGCACATCATGTGAACGAATCCTGATCCTTCCACCCATGATTGTTAGGGTCCTAGACACCAAAAGGATACCACGCTACGCAACCGGCTGCTCCTCAATCTTCGTAAAAGGCGCCGCAAAAGCATACCTCTTAACCCCAGCCCCATAATCCTTCCCCGGAACACGCTCTGCAAGTCGAAATCTCAAAAATCAGCAAAAACGTCTTCCTCGTTTTCCACATCATGGAACAACAATACCGACTCACCATGATCAGGCGGGAAAATTCTCCCTCCGATCCGCATAATACCTCTCTTTCAAATCCGTCCCATCGCTAAAATTATGATAAGTAGCATAAACACTCGCCCTCGACCGATCCGTGAGATTTTTCCGACTCCGATGCGCAAGATGCGACCCGAAAATGAGTAAATCACCACTTCCTAATTCCACGGGTATCCACAGCTGGCGAGCCTCCCAATCGGGATCGATGCGTCCGCCTTCGACGAGGTCGACGTTCATTCGATGAGATTTCGGGACGACTTCTACACAGCCGTTCTCGACAGTCGCTGGGTCGACGGCGAGGTTGGCGGTGGTGTGTTGGATTTCTCCGATGTGGTCGTAAGCGGGGGCGTCGAAAGCGTTGCCGCCTGCGAGCTTGTAGTTGATTTTATCTTTGAAGAGGAGCATGTCGTCGCGCGTGAGCTGTTTGAGGATGTTTCTGATGGGTTGGCCGTTGAGGAGGGAGGAGAAGCCTGGGTGGTAGGCGACGAAGTTTTCTGTTCTGTTCGCATCAGTTGGCGTTCGCCGCTGTCGGTGATTTCATCGTAGGGCATCCATTTGCCTGGGAGATACAGTTAGGTTTGGATCTGAGAAATCGATACTGGTCGAGGTTTACCGTGCTCGCGAGGGAGGTTTCGGATTTCGTCTGTCCATGTCTTGAGCACGGCAGTGTCGATCAGACCGTGCTCAGTGGCTCGAAGAATGAGGAAGCCCTCGTTGTCGAAATGAGCAATTTGCTCGTCAGTGAGGATGAGTTCTGACATATCGCTTGAAAGGATTAGTATACTGTTACCTGACGCCAATTCTATCGTCGAGATCTTCTTCATTTATGAAGACTTGTACAAGTGGTCGACAATTGTGTCGTCGATTGACTTCGTAGCTGGATATGCATGCTCAGTCGGACTTCTTTCCGCGTCCAAATCCGACTGATCCAGTGCATCGCAGTTCCAACCGACCAGGGTTCTCCAGGTAGCACACGTACCTGGTCGAACATCCAAACGATCATGCACGAGGTCTTGGAGCCTAGACGGTGTTCAGGCCGATGGCACAGAGACCGACATCACCTCGATCGTGTAAGAGGAAGCAAGCTGCACAGAGCTCTCTCAGCATCGTCAGCAAGCTACAGATCGAGAGCTCGCAGGCTTCCATGAAATACTTGACTTTGGCCTCAGGCGCACCTCTCGCAATGGCCAGATCTCCAATACTCCACCATCATGACGGTTCAAGTATTGCCGTCGATCGAAGCTCATGCGCGAGATACGGTCCGTGAGCTCTTCGCCCTCACACTCAAGCAGGGCGATAGCGATTATATTGGAGAAGCAGTCTCTCAGCTGCAACACTCCTTACAGGCTGCGACTCTGGCCCAGAATGCAGGCGCAGACGAAGAAACCGTACTTGGTGCGTTACTGCACGATGTCGGTCGCTTCATCCCGGCAGCTGAGAAAGAAGGCGACATGTTCTTCCCGGACGGCACTTTCGCTGGCAAGGCCAGTCACGAAGTCCTAGGTGAAGCGTATCTCAGACAGCTTGGCTTTAGCGACAAGATCTGCCAGCTCGTGGGAGCTCACGTCTGGGCTAAACGGTACCTGACTGCGGTCGACAAAGGCTATTATGATGGGTTGAGTCTCAGCAGCAAGACGACATTGAAGTATCAGGTACGCGAGAAAGTCTGATTCCTTCTCACTATAGGTCCTCATGATCGATGTAGGGTGGTCCGTTCACCGAAGAACAAGTCAAGAAAGCACAGGAGGACCCGCTACTCGAGGGCAAGCTTACTGTGCGACGATTTGACGACCTTGCAAAGGACCCGAACATGCAAACTCCGGACCTGTACAGTTTCGAGACGAGTGCTGTGAGGGCTCTTACCCGTTCGAGAGCAGAGGGATTTGAGCTCCATGGCCGAAGGTACCAGCTTCCCTCCAAGCCCACAGTAGTCATTTGCGTGGACGGTTTTGACCCGGAATATCTTGATCGCGGTATAGAGGATGGCATCTTACCAGTGCTTGGGAGGCTCAAGGCTGGTGGATTCCATGCCACGGCCAAGTCCTGTATGCCTTCTTTCACGAATCCAAACAATGTCTCCATTATCACAGGCGCTCCACCAGCGAAGCACGGGATTTCAGGAAATTTCTTCCTTGACCCGAAGACTGGCGAGGAGAAAATGATCGTGGATGACAGCTTGCTCATTGGCTCCACGATTCTTGAACAGATGTCGAAGAGAGGTGTTCGGGTAGCGGCAGTCACAGCCAAAGACAAGCTTCGCAAGATCCTTCAACCCGGACTGAACGATGCAATTTGTTTCTCTGCCGAGAAAGCTGCAAGCTGCACACTCGAGGAGAACGGCATTGCTGGGGTCGAAAGCTGGCTAGGACAAAAGCAGTCTTCTCAATACTCCGGGGAGTTGTCCATGTTCGTTCTGGATGCCGGAATCAAGCTGTTAGAGGAGGATCGAGCCGATTTCTTCTACTTGACGCTCTCCGACTACATCCAGCACAAACATGCCCCGGGCTCGGACACATCCAACACCTTCATGAAGTCTCTTGATTCGAAGATTGGCAAGCTGATCAACCTCGGTGCTCGTGTGGCAATCACCGGCGACCACGGCATGAGTGACAAGAGCAACGCTGATGGAACACCCAATGTGCTCTATCTCGAAGACGTGCTCGCTGAGAAATGGGGTCACGGCCGTGCTCGTGTCATCTGCCCAATTACGGATCCTTTCGTCAAGCATCATGGAGCACTTGGATCCTTCGTCAGGGTATACGTATCCAAGAAGGATGATTTGGACGATATGTTGAAGTTCTGCAAAACTCTTCCAAACGTCGACGTGGCCATGGAAAGTCGTGCGGCGGCGCAAAATTTCGATCTGCATCCAGATCGCGAAGGCGACTTTATTGTGATCCCCACCAAACATGCAGTCATTGGAAGTCGCAAGGACGAACACGACTTGTCGAATCTGGGCGATCACCGTCTGAGATCGCATCGTGGTATTTCAGAGCAAGACATTCCACTCATAATCTCGGAGCCTGCCAAGGACTCCAGCAAGCTGGCGTGTCATCAATGGCGGAATTACGATGCCTTTGATCTCGTCCTGAACCATTGACGCTAGCAACTCACATTTGTGGCATGTTATTGTAATTCAAATCTGGCTGATAAGTTTGCATCGCATCCTGATTAGACAGAAAATCGAACTCTCCCATAAAGAAGTTGTCGAATGAAGCGCCATTCCAGTCTGTGGCCATGTCGAACAGCGACTCGTCAAAGTTGGGCTGGCTCATCGTGACGTGAGCATTGGCCGGAACAGGCCCTCTCGTGTCCTGCTGCGAAGCTCGTTCGAGCAATGTCTCTGCTCCTCTTGCCACGCTCACAAGCAAATGCCGAGGATGCATCTCAGCTGTCACATTCTTGAGAACCACTACCAGATTGGAAACCAGTGTGCGCACCTCGCTAGTGTCAACGCGAACTGAGCTGGCATATTTCGTTGATACTTTGAGCACGAAGACCACAGCAAAGGCGATCATGACATCGAAATAGGTGGGCAGGCCGTTGAGGTGGTCTTGAATTTCGGTGTCGTTTACCACTGCTCGGAGGATGGCAGTAGCGGAGAGCACGGCAGAGTTGGCGAGCTCATCAATGTCCAACGCAACATCAGGAGCCTTGAAGCCTGGTTTGCCAATGCCACGGAACGCCATGGAATAGAGATAGAGCTTGGCAAAGTGGTAGTGGAGGCCGACTCCTTTCCTCGGATAATTGCCCACGTACCGATTGTGGTGGAAGCGTTGCGTCCAGTCGGCACGTATACGGTCCAAACTTATGCTGAACCTTCTGATAGGGTCAATCGAGCTTGCATCAAGCGGTCTGTCAACATCGATGCCAAAAGTCTGATAGATCTCGCTCCCAACAGACCAGAACTGAACCTGAGACATGAGTCTGGCGTCGTCTTCAACTGCATGCTCAGTCTCAAGGAATTGCAGAGCTGCACGAATTGTGTCATCCTGGCGTGTCATGGGCGGTCGTCCGTATGCTATGGAAAAGTGATGATCGCATATGAATACCAGGTAGTACAGTCGCGCGCGAAGGTAGTGGCTGCGCTCTCCCTGCAATGCTTTGAATATACTTCGGTGCAGTTGTATCTCTGTGGAAATGCGAACAGCTGCTCCAATGCACGTCCAGCTAATCCCGCTCAGCCAGAATGCGCCGACCAAAAGACCTCGAATATCGTCGACATTGTTTCTGCGAGAGAATGTCTGCGCGGCGGCAATTGTGACGAATTCTTGGTAGCACTTTTCGAAATCTGGGGTGGCAAGATGTAATGCACCTACTGCGCATATTGCGGCGAGTAGGAGGGGAGAGTCGGCACGAACTTCAGTCAGCGATTTTCGATCGCCAATGATGCGGTACAGGAAATGATCGAGTCGGTTCTGGTATATGTCGAGATAAGACTGCGCTTGCTGCTCCGTCACAACACCTCTCGTGATGATATCTTGCTCCGCTCGATCCTTCTCGAGGCCTGGGATGGCGATAGGCGATACGACGGAGCCAGGGATTGCAGCTGGGCCAGAGTCAGGGTCCATGACAATCTCGAAGTTATGCGGCGTATGCTGTGTAGTGTGCTTCTCGGCATTTGGCGACGGTCCTGTTTGAGAGGCTCTTGTTGGAGTCGGCATCATGGATGCATGAGGGTCCTTGGCAATTGCAATATCGTCTTCATCGTCGTCGGCTTCCTCCAGAATGTCGGGAATGGACAAGTGACTGGCCACCTTTCCCAGAGCTGATTCCAGCACTCGGATCTTGCGCTCCATGACCTCCTTCCAGTTGGCATCGCTCTCGAGGATCATTTGCAGGCTTCGGTTGACGGTACACGACAGCCCCCTTTTTTTGCACCGCACGCACGGCGGCTGCCCATCGCGCATGTGACACTTGATTTTCTGTTTTCTGCACGCTTTTTTTCATTTAATTAGTCGAGGAGCGGACTTGATATCGAGGAAATCAATACCGACACATGCTGTGATTTTTCTTGTGATATCCGGGGGCTTTCTGTCTCCAAATTGGTCCCTGAGAGCCATGATGCCCTGGGTGGCAGAGGCAGAAGCTGAAGGAGAACCCGAGCCGTTCATGTTCACAGTGTCGACCGCTGACCCGCGTGCATTGTCATATTGAGTATCGCATTGTAGTGAAGTCAAAGGTTGAACTGGTGACAAATCCTGGAGATAAGCTTCTCGGCTACTCCCGCCTCCCTCCCGAGAATCCTTGGCACTTCCACGATGGCGCTGTCTGCACTTCGCCGAAAGCATTCAAAAGTCCACGCAAAAGAGTCGACACGTACCTACAATCCGAACCACGCCGCAACTGCCTCCAAGTGCTACTGGAAGCGTCTCGAACACCCTTCTCGCCATGCAAGGCACTTGCATAGGCGACGATTGTGCAACAGCCAGCAAGCGAGACACTGCTGAGCGTAGGAAAGATCGACTGCCATAATATCGACCGATGGGTCCTATGAACTGCGAGGCGCAGATCATAAACACTCGAATGGTCATATCCAAGATTTCTGGTATCTGTACGTATAAGTAGGAGAACTGTTACAGTACATGAGCCACTACAACGCCCCGTGGCCGGGTCCAAGACTCCGCCAACTCCATGCCTTCCATGCACGCACGTCACGATACTGTTTGAGGACGCTCTTAGGTGATCAAATAGAAGAAGAGTATTCTCTGTCGGCATTATCACATGTCTCGTCCCTCGTGCTGTGTATATTTCAAGAGACCATCTTCATCCTTCTCGTAATGCTGAGAGCTTACTTCGGGGGCTTGGCATGTGCTTTGACAAGCTCTCCGAGACGCTTCTCCATGACATCTCGACCAGACTTGGTCCGCCACACGTAGTGAGGAGCCTTGTTGACCACATCCCACGCGAGAAGCGTTCCAGTAATGTTGGTCAGATCGCGCTGCTTGCTTGCCCACTCGTCGTCAGTCTTGACGCGAATGCCAGACGAGACGACCACGAGTGGTGTGTCAGTAGCCTGGATCGTCCGAGCCGAAGCGACCTCGTTCTTCGTGAAAGAAGATGCGACCATGTTCTCCTGAAGTTTGGCTTTGATGAACTTGCCGCCCGTGAACGCAGCGTTACCGTAAACACGGTCTTCCTTCGTCTGACCATAGAATAGCGAGCCAATTATTCGGCGAATGCCTAGCGGGCTGATGATTCCCCAGCCCCAGATGATGAAGCCTCGAGTTGGGCTAGCAAGCTGGCCCAGGAGATCTTCGTGAAGTGGGTCGACCATCATGATGCCGACAACTTCGCGGAAGTGTCTCGCACTGAAAATCCGCGACACGAGACTGCCATAACCGGCAGACACGAGAATGTAAGGACCTTCTTCTCCAGAGATGGCGAGCGCCTCAGCGAGATTGTCCGCCGACATGCCAGCGCTGTGCGGCGAAGGGGCATTGTCCGACCATGCATAGCCCGGGCGATCCCAGTAGCAGTATCTGTCGATCGTTCCATTCTTGTATGCGTTGTATGCCCAGTGTTCAAAGTCATACTCGGCTGGGTCTTCTGCAGCTTCGAGGAGAATTGTCGGGGTCTTCTTGCCCTTTGCATCGGTGGTGATGTTGCCGACGCAGTCAAGATGCACTTGGTACTTGTGGTCATCAACCCAATATCGCTCGCCACTGAACGCCAGCCCTGCATCAAGGCTGCGAAGAAGCAGTGTTGCGGTCATAAGAATGGTGATGATGGTGAAGCCGACGAGAATGATTGTGGCTGCAAGCACCGACAACCATTCTTTGAGAGTTCGTCTGGTCTCAGGACGGCCTGTGAGGCGCTCTTCCTCCTCACGCTTGCCCCAAGCAACAACACGATCCGTGAAAACTGCCCAGCCAGCCATGAGGGTGGCCCATACCACGCTGGATATGCCGGGAGCACCTTCCTCACCGCGAATTCTGGGCACAGCGACGATGATGATCAGGTCAATGAGTAATAATAGGGCAAGTACGCCCTGCGTTACTCGCATAGCCAAGCTTGGGGAGGAGAAGAACAGGAGCGAGGTTAGGAGGAGGCCTGATGTCAAGGTGGTGTAGGAAAAGTCGAAGAAGCCTGAGCCCCGTGTGTGTAGTCCTGGCGGCGACACGAAGATGCTGACAAGGAGCAGCACCCACCAGAGGAAGGTGATGATTAGGAACAAGACGGTCATATATCGCATGAATCGGACGGTCCATAGATTGTAGGGCGAGACCTAGCACAGTCAGTATCGCTGTCATTTCTTGCTGTGGTCGTGCCCCAACTCACAGCTGGATCATCTGGATCGAGATATCCATCTGGATGAGGTGGACGCCTGCTGTCGCGCAGCAGCGCATCTCTCTCCGTCGGCTCTCTCATGCTGCCGTCCTCTTCCGAGCGTCTCGAGCTGTGAGTATAATGACGCTCGCCTCCGTTCTGTTGTTGTTGTTGCTGCTGCTGCTCTTCTCGCTCGGTCTCGTCGAAGTCTTTCTTCTTCGCGCTTCCCCACAAAGACATGGTCTATCCGCTGCTCTTTCAACTCTCACACACCAAAGGGAGCGTAGGATATCGGAGGAGGAGGAGGTGACGATTGCAGTGTCTGCTACTGCCTACCACGCAGAGGAGTCCGTGCCAGTTCACAGCCCGGCCCCGCGTGAAGAAAGACACTGGCCGAGCTTCGCGGGCGGGAAGGCTGGCGTGCTGGCGCGACTGGATCCAAGACGCTGCATGCCGTCACCGAGCGGCGAAGTGGCTTGTGGCACGAGCTCGGTCAAGTGCGCTAACAAAAGGACCATCGAACTCAAAGAGCGGAACAAGGCATTGCGAGGTCGTCGTCAGCCAAGTTGAGCAGCACCGGCGACGGCACGCAACATTGGACTGCTGCAGCTTCGGCTCCTTCTGAACGCTGGCATGCACAACCGCGCGTCGTGTTCAGCGGGCAGTTCGTGACTTGGATGTTGCAAAGCACAAGAGACAAGTCGGTACGAGTCTAGATTGTACTATTGTAGGTTGTTCCAGCTTCCAGCTTTCGAGAAGATGTGCAATCTGCCAAGCAACGGAGCCAAGGCCGCCGATTGCCGAGAATTGGAAAATGCCTCAGGTTTGCTATCCGGGGTTTCGTTAGTCACACTTCACCCCGCGGTCGCGGGGATTCAAACTATACGTAAAATCGCACTTTCTTAGTAGGCTACACGTAAATCTCGATATAATCGTACATTCCAGTCCTATTCGGATATCTAGGCAGGTATAGTAAGGAACCGCGAGTCTAAATATTATATATATAGCCTTATCTAAGTATATAGTAGCTATAGACCTTACTACCGCCGTTTTCTTATATAATCCTTAGCAGGCGCGTCTACCTTATTCCAAGGCGCGTACCGCGTAATAGAGGCTAAATCGGGCTATTAGCTAAGAAAGTTAGTATTCGCGTACTTTATAAGGCCGAGAAAAGAGGTCCTACGGTCGTAATTTAGTTACTAATATACCGGAAATCTACTGTTTCTTGTCTCTTATTCTACTTATGTTTAGTCTCCTATTATATATACTCTATAATATTGCTATTATCGAGTTTTACGTATAGCCTACTAAGAAAGTGCGATTTTATATATAGTTTAAATCCCTAAGCGCGGGCGAGGGGTAAAGTAGGCTAACGCAACCCTAGATATCGCTATCGCTATCGACGTTAGTATCAAACTAGTATTTATATAGCTCGAAGAGCTATAAGTAAAGGCCGAAGAGCTATAAGTAAAGGCTAAGGCGACGAGCGGGGTAGGGTAAGCTAGATTCTAGAAGATTCTACGGCGGCTGTTACTATGCCGCGCTAGGCAACAAGGCGGAAATCGTTACAAATCGCACTTTTTAAATCGCGCGCCTTTCTAATAACAACTTTAGGTATTAGAAAACACTATTTAGAAACGCTTATAGTAAGTACTATTAGAAACGCTTATAGTAAGATAGTCTAAAATATCTAAAGTAACTACTTCCGGAATACGCCTATAGTAATTACTATCCGGAATACCTATAGCGAGTACTATTCGAAATATCTATAGTAGATAGTTCTTTCTAAGTAGGAACGCTTATAGTAAGTACTATCTATAAGGCGTATAGTAAGTCTAATCTAAAACGCCTAAAGTAATTTTATATTAGAGGCTATACGTAATTGGCATATAACTAGCTCGAGTAAAGCTAGGGTCTTAGTGCCTTAGGCAGGGCTTAGCGCTTAGCGTTAGGCTAACTAGCCTGCCTTCCTCCTTCTTCTCCTAGTTCTCTATCGAATACTACTCGTACCTACTACTACCCTATCTACCTACTAATATACCCTTCTTATACAGTATTCGATCTACCCTTTAAGGGTAGCAGCTAGATAGTCCTTATTTTAAGCTTTTAGCGGTATAGCTACGAATAAGACTAATCTAACTATATTGCGCCTAAAGAACGGGACCTATACGTACTATTCTACTAAAACAACCGTACTAATTATTAAGCAAGGCCTTCTATACGGCCTATTATACTAAGTTAAGCATACTAAGCCGATATCTACTAATTCCGCTATATCCGTATCTTAGGGGCTAATAATATATTATTAGTGTCGCCCCTTATAATAGCTGGTTTATTACGAAATAACAACTATACTACCGCTAGTAGCGCTAGCAATAACAACGCTAGTAGCATAGCACCTACTAAAGTGCCTACTAAAGCACCTACTAAGGTGCCTACTAAAGAGCCTATTGCTAGGCCTACCGAAGAACCTATAGTTCTAGGCGACGACCTAGAATTACCTATTAACGATATACTTAACAACATTGTTAATCGACGATATAGCTAGCTAGCCTTTAGCCCCTAGCTAGTAGCGAGACTTTAAGAAGCTACTTAAAACAGGCTTACTACCTTGCGCTAGGAACAATAGCTAAAGGATAATCTCCTCGAAATTCGTCGCCTGCAAGAAGCCCTAGCGACTAATACTAAACTAATAGCAGGGCCTTCCTCTCTATCTGTTTTAGTCTAAAAGAAGGATGCTAAACTTAAGGACTATACTATATTTAATAGCTCTAGTCGGAAACAATACAACGACTACATCCGTAACTGCGAGCTTAACTAGCGAAACGCGCTAAGGGCCCTTCTAGACGACTACTCGTTAGTCGTCTATACTATATAATATATTAATAGAGACCTAAAGCGTACCTAGGATAACCATTTCGACTCCCTTACTAATTAGACCGCTATTTAGTAGTAAGACTACAAGACTATTATACTAGACACCCTTAGAAACCCTATACTAAGGCAACAACACGCTTAGGACTAATACCTTCGAGCTAAACAAAAGACTAATTAATCGGCTCGCTTATTTAAGGCCTATTTAAAGACCCTCGAGGACGATTTACTACCTAAAACCGACTCTATCTAGATATCTGAGATACGACCTAAACTGAGATAGGAACTAGTCCTTAAATTGGACCGCCGCCGTATGTTTAAATAGGCTAACCTAATACGCATTTAATTTATAGTCGAAGTAGAAACAGCCGAGCGGGCTGTTTAGCTCTAGCAACGACTAGAATCGAGGATCCGACTAGCTAGCACTAACCGCGGCAATCGTAGTACCCGCGGAGGCAATAGCTAAGGGTCCTACTAAAATAACAATACTAATAATGGAAACAGTAATAGCGACCGTAGAAGAGGCCGTAGCCGGCGGCTATATAGAGGAAGCCGCGATAGGGGCCGTAGAAGGGGCTCGTATCCCTATAATGCTAATCGCTCGGCTAATAATAGTAGTAACAATAGCTACGGTAGTCTACTAACCGGGTTGAAGTACTTTAATTATAATAGTACTAGCTATCTACTAGGCTAATGCGACAAACCTAAGGACTAGGCCCGAATCGACCGTACTACCGCTAAGCACTAAAAGCACCTCTTAGCAGCTAACGCTACCCCTATAGGTCAACCTTCGAAAAAAGAGTAAGCGCCGTACTAACTATTAGCCTCGTACGGCGTAAGACTATCGATATTATGCTAGCTATTATACGTACCTGTCTTATATCTAGGCCCGACACTAACTATAAGGCAAAGGTTATACTAGACCCCGGAAATTCAGTTAGCGCCCTTATTAGCTATCGCCTAGCTAAGTAATTAGACCTTCGACAACTACCGAGGACTAACCTACTAACCCTTACTTAGTTTAATAACGCTCGGCACTTAATCTATAGAGCCTACTATATTCCTATAGTTCTAAAGGACGACCTCGGAAATAAACGCCTACTAAATTTCACTACCTACGCGGTAGACATAGACAGCCTCCTATCTAATATTGTTATTAGCAACCCTGTTCTTAAGTACTATACTATAGTTATAGACTTAGGCAGTTAATAGTAGCGATTTAGAATCGCTAGGAAAGAGGATATTAAACACATTAATGTTAGCGAGTGCCCTAATAATATTAGGGTCCTATTTATTAGCAACCTAACCCTAGCGGATCCGACGGCCGACCTGCTCGGTAGTAATAACGATGAACCTGTGCCCCCTAATAGCATAGACCCTAATTAGCTTGCTCGTATGCTAGAGCCTATTCGAGAGACCTATATTAATATATTTAAACACTACTTAGCATCGACATTGCCTATGTTTAAAGAGACGGATTATAAGATTAATATTATAGAGGGCAAGGAGGTTCCTTTTAGCCCCCTCTACAACCTTAGTAAACGAGAGCTTGCTATATTGCGTAAGTACCTAGAGGAAAACCTAGCTAATAGTCGAATTCGGTATAGCAATAGCCCTACTAGTGTACCTATCCTATTCGTACTAAAGAAAGATAGTAGCCTACGTCTATATATCGATTATCGTAGACTTAATGCTATTACTATTAAAGATCGTTATCTACTTCCTCTTATTAATAAGACCCTCGATCGCCTTTCTAGTGCCTACTACTACACTATATTAGACATTAAGGACGCCTATTACCGCATCTGTATTCGCAAGGGCGATAAATAGAAGACAGCCTTTCGTATTCGCTATAGCTATTTTAAGTACTTAGTTATACTATTTAGGCTAGCTAATGCCCCTACTACATTCTAGTCCTATATTAATCGGGCCCTATTAGGCCTATTAGATCACCTCTATATAGTTTACCTAGATAATATCCTAGTTTACATACACTCTCCTAACATTGCGGAACACTAGGCTATAGTCTATAAGGTACTTAATCGCCTAAGGGCCTATAGCTTATATTGTAAGCCTTCTAAATACACCTTTACTACTAAAGAGGTGTCCTTCCTTAGCTTCCTCGTGTTAACCGAGGGTGTTAAGGCTAATCCTAATCGGATTAAGACTATTACTAAGTAGCCGACGCCTACTAGTATTAAAGAGCTTTAATTATTCCTAGGTTTTGC